AGAGTAATGAGCATTTTTTTCATATGGCATGGACCACATGTGTTCTTTGGAGAAACCATTTTTTGCTCTTTTATCCATTTTTAACTGTTGTTTAAAGTTGTTCAGTTGGATGAAATCTTTATATATTTTGGGAATTAACTTGTTTTTGGATATGTGCTGTGCAAATATTTTCTATCAGTCACTAGTTGTTCTGTGAATATTTCTTTATCTGTGCAAAGGTTTTTCAGTTTGTATCTTTAAAGATGTATTTATTTATGCATACAAGAACTGGGGTACAGGCCAGAGGTGTGGGAGGTGACAGGATTCACCAGAGACAGAGCGGGGAACAGACAGGCAGACTGACGTAACACATTGTTGAGGGGAGCAGTGCGTGCAGCAGGAGAGGTCTGCTGTGCCATGTGGGTAGCTCCCTGGCTGGCAGGAATCAAACTCCTGCTGCAGAGGCTACGGCCAGCTTCATAGTGCTGTGCTTAACCCCTTGCGCCAGAATTAATCCACTTGTTTATTTTTGTTTTTGTTTCTGTGCCATTAGAGTGAGTCCCTGAATGCATCTCTGAGGTTGAGATCCGTGAGCACATTGCCTCTTTTCTTTTATGTATTTTATGCCTTAAGGTCATGCTCATCACTTGGGAAACTGCCAGGGTTTTGGAAGATCTGTGCTACAAATGGTATACAGAACAAATATATGCTAACTTATGCTATGGAATGTTATCTAGCAAGGAAAAGGAATGAAGTACTGATCCATACATTGTACAGCATGCATGAACCTTGAAAATAGAATAAGTGAAAGCAGCCTGTCACAAATAATACCTATTGTGTGACTGCATTTACATGAATTGTCTGTAGTAGACAAATAACTCCACAGATACAGAAAACAGATGGGCGATTTTTCATGTACTAGAGAGGGAGGGACACAGGGAGGATTTGTTATTGGGTTAAGTTTCATTACCTCAGAAGTTCATGAATATGCCCTAACATTAAGTTGTGGTGACAGTTCTACAACTATGAGTTCCTAAAACCCACTGAATTGTACACTTTACAAAGGGGAATTTTTGGTCTATGAATATAGTTGATATTTAAATTAGATGAAGAGGGCCTCCCTGGTGGCATAGGCAGTTGAGTGCTGCATTGTGAATCTGTCTGCAGCCTCTGCAGTGGGGGTTCCATCCTGGCTGGCCGGCAAGGGTCCCACATGACTCAGCAGACCTCTCCTGTCTCCCACTGCTCCCCTCAGCAGTGTATTTTGTCAGTCTTCCTGTTCTGTTCCCCGCTCTGTCTCTGGTGAATCCTCTCAGCCTCCTGTGCATCTCGCCTGTATCCCAGTTCTTGTATAAATGAAAAAAAAAATCTTCAAAAAAATGGAAAATAAAATAAATGAAGAGATTGCTTACTTGGGCATTTAAATTCAATTTTAAAACCCCTGTAAGGGGGCCTCCCTGGTGGCACAAGGGGTTAGATGCAACCTATGAAGCTATCTGCAGCCACTGCAACTCAGGTTCAATCCCTTCCAGGGAGATACCCACATGTCGTGGCAGACCTCTCCTGTCTCAGTCTAAGCTGTTCCCCTCAGTGGTGTATTTCAGTCAATCCACCTGTTCTGTTTCTCACTCTGTCTCTGATGGATCCTCTCACTGCCCACAACCCCTGCATCGCTGGCCTGTACCCCAGCTCTTGTACGCATAAATAAAAAAATCTTTAAAAAAAAAAACTCTGTAAGACCACAGACGATACTGACTTGTGGTCAGATCCTGTCCTGGTAGACAATTTCTATCCTCTGGGTGACATTTATGCTTGCTGTCTGCATCTCAGGGGCAGATTACTCTTTGCCCTCCCTGGACTCTAATATGTACAAGGCAAGGCCATGTCTTCCAGGTTTTGTCTCCTGTACTGAGCACCTGCTGTGCTGGGCTTGCAGAAGGAATCATACATGTTTGTTAAGTGCATTACGTCCCATTCACTCATCTCATCTATACTGATCAGTATCAATCTAACACATGTATCATTAAGAGAGAAAAACTGACCCCAGAGTACAAGGCAGAGATGATCTGAAATCCAAATTGCTTTGGGGAACCTCATATAAAAGCATCAGGAGTGAGTGACAGATGAAATTACAGGGACCCTTGATTCCTGGATTTGCACTACCCCACTCAAGTCTGTACTACTTGTATGAGCCCTTTACAGAAATAATGGGCACTTTTTCAGTTGTTCTAAATGTACATATAAAGGCTATTTCTCTGCCCTATGCACCAGAGCGTTATTACTTGTGTTCCTTGGCATCAAATGCTGCATGTCTGTCCTCTCTGAAAACAATTTTAACATCAGTAGGAAAGCCTTTAACTCTCTGGCTCTGGGTTTTATTTTCCTAACAATTAAGCTGTCATTTCATACTGTCCACAGTCTTCCACTTCTTTCATTTTTGGACCATATCAAGTGGGGATAAATTATAAATTTGACTCACTCAAGAATCTAACTGAAATCATTATTCTATTTTATCAGTGTCCAGAATGTAAACAAACAGGGCAGATTTGTTTTTCAATAAAATCAGTGTTATGCAATGGAAGGCTGTGATTGCTTAATATAATAAAACTACAAGCAGGGTGACTGTGTGGTGTCAGTCACAGAACATAATGCAGACACAAAAAGGTGAGAGTCTCACGGGTGTGTCTAGACTTAGAGAGCACAGATGTTTTGGTGGAGGGACATTCATTATCTACTGAGCGTTTGGTGTCCTGAATCCATCTGGAGCAGGCTCTCCTTGGAAGCATGAAGTTGTCTATCAAAGTCTTGTTCTGGATGTTTCACCTGCAGCCCAGCTTCCCCTTCCTCACCCCCATTCTAATTCAGCCCCCATTTCTGTGTCCCACTTTGCCCAAGGCAGTCCTGGGAAATGATTCAATTCCTTCAGGAAACCCATCATGTTGTAGAAGAGATGAGGTCTATTACCATGAATCTGTAGGTGACAGTGGGTGCCAGCACTTGATGTTAATGGAATTTTGAGCACACAGCTGGAAAAGGAAGTGTGCTAATTAGCCCTGACTTAATGGATGCTGGACTGGGTGGGGTTATATAATCACCATCTCTGGTGCAGTCCTCATTTAAAGCTGAATGCATTTAAAGCACTTAGGGCCCCTCACACATCCCAAAAGAGCCGTGCCAGGGCCTGTAGATTTGAGACAACATTGCTCTTCAGGCCATAGTTCTGCCCCTCAAAGATTGCAAGCACACTACCACCCAAGGCTTGCCCCTGCTGGTCCCCCTGCTTGTCCTTCCTTGCTTTCAGAGAGGCTTTCCCTGAAGTCTTGATTTAAGACAATATGGCCTTTCTTCTTCCTTGCTTATTTCTTCTCCATAGTGTTAATCGTCAAGCTATCCACCACACTGCCAGCTTAGTGATGTTGATGATGTGTCATCTTTTTCATTTTTATTATAGAAGCACCATTGGTTTACATTTTTGTTAGTGTTTTGGGAGTATAGAATTTCCCCCTCAGGTGCAAAAACCTATACTTGTCTGTTTAGCAGAGATGAGTGGACTTCCTCCCCAAAATGGAGTTTTTTAAAGTAATAGAGGAATCAAACGAAAGAGTTCTCAGTGGCCATATGGAAGAGATAATGTGGTATATATACACATACACACAATGGAATACTACTCTGCAAACAAAAAATGATAAATTCACACCATTGATGGCAACATGAATGGAACTGGAATCTATTATGCCAAGCAAAATAAGCCAGAAGAGGAAAGATAAATACTGGATGATGTTACTTTTCTGTGGAATATCAAGAAACCAAACAAAGTTTGTCAAAGACAAACTTTAGAGTCTATAAATCCTTGATGATGTGTCTTCTTGCCTAGGACACCAGCACCTTGAGGGCAGGGGACAGCAGAGTTCTTGTACATGTAGTAGGCTGGGTTAACAGTTTAACCAATCAACTCAATGCCTTCCAGGGATGGATCATATTGCACAGGTTATGTTGGACATATAGGAATGTTCTGACAGGCCTATGACTCCAACCCCCAATTTAAAAACCAATAGCAAGTCCAGATTTGATTTTACAAAGTCGAGTCAGTCAGAGTTACCTGTGAGGGGGAAGATGTAAGGACCAAAGCTTATTGGAATCTCTTATTTTGACAAGTGCCCTCATAGACACGCTCGTCACTCAGGTCATTAGCTCATGTTCCTTCGTCTAGCAACTTATAAACATGATAGGACTGTGGACTTTCTCGACATTGTCTTTGCTTCTCACCAGAGGAACTCTTCAAAGCAAACAAAGTTATTGTCTTGCTGACATTATTGCCCAGGCAGCCTTGCCAGTGTGGAAAGGACATTTCCAGCAGAGCAAACTGTGGAATTCTTTCCTTCTTTTTGAGTCTACAGCACCTTTTCCAAAAACTCTTTCTGTAAGCATGTGTCATACATACAGTGTAATACAGTTACATTCTATTGTCATCGTCTGTGTCACATTCTGGTGTACCCGAACTTGCAAAAGGATTCTTTAAAATGTAGGTAGACCAAGGGTCATTCTTAGTGCTGTGAGTTCTATGGGTTTTGACAAATGCATGTTGGTAAATGCAGCTATCTTAGTATTTTCCTAATAAGTTACTTGTGTTTTTAACATCATTTTTGCAGAGCATAAACTTTTAATAAAGTGCAAAGGTCTGTTTATTATTTCATAGGTCATGCTTCTAGTGTTTTACCTAAAAAGTTATTAGCAAATCCAAAGTCACATCTATTTGTATTATTATGTCATATTCGAGAAGTTTTATAGTATTGCATTTTACTTTCATGTTTATGATTCAATTTGCATTTGTTCATTTTAAAATAAGGTTTAGGTCTGTATCTAGGTCCATTTTATGAGTGTTGTTGGATTTCTGTGTATAGGTCTCCTGCAAATTTTGTTAGATTTATGCTTAGATATTTATTTTTTTTCTTTTTTTTCATTTTTTATTATTTATTTATTTTTAAAGACTTATTTATTTATTTACTTATTATTTATACAAGCACTGGCTACATTCAGAAGCATGGGAGGATGAGAGAATTCACCAGAGACAGAGCAGGGAACAGAACAGGCAGACTGACGAAGTACGCTGCTGAGGGGAGCTGCGGTCGGAAGGAGAGGTCTGTGTGCTATGTGGGAACTTTGTTGGTGGCCGGGGATGGAACCAGTGCTGCAGAGAATGCGGGCAGCTTCACAGCCCAGCGCTCAACCACTGCACCACCAGGGGAGGCCTTGCTTAGGTATTTCATTTGGGGTAGAATAATTATAACAGATAATGTTTCTTTAATTTTAAATCCCAGTTGTTTGTGTTGCTTATGGGGAAACTAATAAACTTTTGTATATTGACCACATACCCTGCAACCTTCCTATAATTGCTAACTATTTCTGAGATTTTTTTTAAGATTTCTAGTGGTTTTCTACCTGGAATACAAAATTGATTGTTTCATATCAATATGTATTCCCTTTATAGCTTTTCTTTTCTTTTACTTATCATATTAGTTAGGACAGCCCCACAGTTCTGAATTGGTATAGTGGCAGAGGACAAAATGGCCTTTTTCTCCATCTGAAGAGGAAATCTATTTGGTGGCTCATCTTTAAGTGTAATGTTAGTTACATGTTTTCTTTTACACATTTAATTAGTTTAAGGAAAAGCCCCTTAAATTCTGGGTTTTTGAATTTACTTTTTTTTTAATTTTGAATATGTGTTGAAATATATTGAGTGTTTTTATGTCTGTTGATACAGTAATATATATTTTCTTATTCACTCTTAATGTAAACTGTTATATTACTTGATATGTAAGTGTTGAACTGGTCTTGTATTACAGGAATGAACCACACTTAGCCATGATGTATATAATTTTTCAATAATTTCAATACAAGTCACTGGATGTGATTTTTTTAACATCTCTAGTTTTTCAGTTTTATTATCTTTTTATTATATTTAGTTGTTTTGGTTTACAAAGTAATTATGGTCTCAAAAATGAATTGTGTTACGCAGGAGGCGCAATACGGAGGCAGAGTGAAGACACTGGGCTCAGCGCCGCCATAAACTCACAACAATGTGCAGGACAACATCGATGCCCCTGAAAGAGAAATGGGTGACCAGGGCACACACCAGGAGCAGGGACCAATGGCAAGAAACCGGGAAAACGTTAACTGACCTGCATCTACAGTTATACTGGAGCAGAATTAAACCCCCTACAGATGTGGACTCGGGGACACAAGCCACATTGGGGACTTTGGAGATTCAGCACTTCCCTCAGCGCTGGGCTCAACCCGCTGGGCCCTCCGGGAGGCCCTATTTTTGAAGACAACATACCAATTCTCTACAGCTGTGAGTGTTTTTCTGATGGTAGAAGGTACATAAATACTTCATACCTATAGATGCACACACAAGCCACACTCATGTAGACTCATATGCACAAACTTGCACACAGTGCAAGACATGCACATACACCTAAAGAAAATAGTGCAAATACCTAATTCCATACTCACAGCTAGCTCTGCTTCACACTCCTGTCTCACTGTCTTATCACCACTTGACCCCTCTCACTTTTCTAAAATTTTCTAAATGCTTTCCAAAATTTTCTAAATTTTCTAAACTTTTCACTGCTTATTACAAGAATGTTAAAGGATTTTTAGGTCTCTGATGTCCGATGTGTTGGAAGTGTAGGTGCCGTCATAAATGGGGAGCAAACATGGTCAGTTTCAAACACCAATTTAATGTGTCCTGGGATAGACATTTTAACTAAATAATCCATTTCAGACTGTCTCCTCCAGGCGTAGAAAGAGCGTCCAGATGCCTCCACACCCCAGGGCTCGCAGGAAGAACAGGTCACCTGGAGGTGCCCCTGCAGTGGGAACCAGTGTGTCCACGGCGGCCGCCTCCTCGTGCCCTCTGGGACCTGCGTGGGAAGAGCAGAGCCAGTGAAGCCCAAGCACGGAGGAGGCTCTTTCCTTAGTGACACCCCCCGGGAAGTGCTGCATGGACTCAGATGCGACAAAGTACAGATGGAAACCAGGAGGCCCTATCGAGGCACCACTCACTGGCGGGTAAGCAATTCTCAAAGTTGGAATCTCCGTTGTGAAAAGGGGCTCAGTAGAGGGGGACTTCCTACCGTGTATGTCAGTCCCTGACAGCGCCAGTCAGACCGAAGAGCTCCTGCATCGTCTGCGCCGTCCGGGTGCCCAGGGGCCACCAGCAGGGCCCACACGGGATAGAGCCTAAGATGGGGAAGCAAGGCCCTGGGGTCCCAGCCTATGCCCCGGGGCCTCTGGGGGCTCAGCCCACACAGCTCCACTCCCATCCTGGGCCCTGCACCTGCTCAGCTGCCCTAAGCCCTCCTCTCCCCCCTTCCTCTGCTCTGTTCCCCTCAGGTGCTTCACCAGACCCATTGCCCTCCCTGCCCTTCACCTGCTCTGCTCCTGGGACTGCTGTGCTTGCGGACATCTGTGCTCCACACCTATGTTCTCATGCTGCTTCTGGCCCCTCTGGCTGGGCCCAGCCCCTGAGCCCTCTCCAGGGCTCGGCCTCCGCTGGTGTGCTCCTTTCACTATGGCCACTGAGTGGCTGCCCTGGAGCGGGGAAGTGAATTCTAGGGAGGTGCTGGTGACCATCTAATCCCCAGCAGGGTGAACTCTGCTCTTGTGTTTTCTTCCGAAGGGTGGACAGAAAATGCAACATTTTAAAATCCTATTAAGGATTCAACGAGCTCTGGCCTTGTAGCCTCCGCTGGACTGAAGGGTGGATTGGGAATGGTGTTAATAGCCCAGTGTCTCTGCAGGGAGTGGGCTGAACATGGGCTCCTCCTTGGGGTTATTCGGGTGGTGCTGGAGAGCTGGGGGGGCTGGGCTGGAGGTCTTCCTAATGCTTTCCTGGCCTCCCCCTCCAGCTGGGGGCCTAGCAAGGTGGTGCTGGGCTGCAGGGCTTCCTCCTGTAGGGGGCCTGGCAGTGATGTGGTGTTGAGCCCCCAGGCCTCCCGCAGCACAGGCCCTGACCTGGAGGCCATGCTGGGCCTCCAGGCGTCCGGCAGCAGGGGCCCTGAGCCGGAGACAGAACTCTGCAGGCTGGCATCCTTCTGCGGGATGCCTAGCCCGGAGGTGGTGTTGGGCTTCTGGGTGTCCTGCTTCGGGGACAGTCCCACCTGCAAGATTTCCCGTCCCGAGAACTCAGGCTGCCGGTGGTCCTCTGGTATCGGGGTGCAGTGGGCCCCATTGGGACTGAGGAGCTTGGGGAAGATGGTGGGGTCCGGCCCCTCCTCGCCCACCCACTGCCTGGAAAGCAGCATGAGGTAGGACCCCATCACAGGGTCATACCTGCCCTCCAAAAGCGCCCTGTCGATGACCTATTTCCGGAACCCCAGGCAGACCATGGCTTCCATCGCGGCCTTTTGCTGGCCTGGGACAGCTTGCAGCAGGGCGGGAGTCCATTGGGCAGCCCCACCCAGGGGTGCTGGATGATGCTGTCCAGGGTGCTGCGGCTCTGGGGGTCGAGCGTTATCATCTTCCTTAGCAGGTCACGGCACTGCTGGGAGAGGTAGTGCGGCTCGTTGTAGACACCGCTCAGCACCCTGGCCCGCAGCTCCCCGAGGCTGTTGCCCTTGAAGGGCAGCTCCGTGTCCATGTCGTAGAGGACCACCCCCAGGCTCCTGATGTATGCCGCGGGGCCACTGTACTCCTGGTGACGGAGGATCTTGTGCGCCACAAACTGCGGGCTGCCGCAGGGGGTCTTGAGCAGCGCTGTCCCAGAGAACTGGGCACTGAGCCCGAAGTCTGCCAGTTTTATGTTTCGGTGCCGGTCCAGGAGCAGGTTCTCTGGCTTCAGGTCCCAGTGCACCACGCCCCGGGCTTAGCAGTGGCTGAGCGCAGCGAGGATCTGCTGGAAGATGCGGCGCACCTCCATCTCCCTCAGGTGCCCACACCTGCACAGGTAGTCCTGCAGGTCGCCCCCCTGAGTGCGCTCCAGGACCAGCAGCACCTCATCCTCAGTGTCCACCACCTGGAAGAGCTGGAGAATGTTCGGGTGCCAAAGGACTTTCATGAAGGCCACCTCGCAGACCAGGAACCTCTGAGGCATGCCGGACTTGGGGATGACCTTTATGGCCACTTCCGTGCCCATTGGCAGGTGCCGTGCCTGCTTGACCTTGGCGTGGGTGCCCTCCCGCAGCTTGCCGAGCATCACATACTGTCTCAGGGCCATTCCCTGGGCAGACATGCACATCGAGGCAGTGAGGGCGGACCCGCTCCTACACTCGCAGGTCCTGGCTGTCTAGAGCCCTCGGCACTAGCTCCGCTACCCGATTAACAAGTTCACTACTAGCCTAGAGCTAGTAGTATGTGAAAAGGATCCCCGAAACTAACTAAATGCTCCCCGCGCTGACTCCTCTACCGAAACAGTAAGGACGCTAACTTACCTCTACCAGAAACACTAACTATGCTAACCTAAGTAGGTTACTAATACTAACTACGCACTCAAAAAGGAAAACACACAACCAAAAAATTAACAAAGATAAATATTTAAAAATATAAAAAAACAATAACAAACTAACAACTCCAAATAACAAGAACACAGACAAACGAACAAACAATTACAAACTAACAAGTAAAATAAAAAAAAAAAAACAGACAACAAAGGGGAAATAAAAACACACGCAAAAATAACAACACCAGGGAAAATGGGGGGGGCAATAAAAAAATTTTAAAAATAAAAACAAATAAAAAATTAAAATAATAAAAGGAAAAAATAAGCAAATAATAAAACAAAGGAAAATAAAAAAACAGAATTAAAAATAAAATAGCTAAAATAAATAACTGAATAAGAAATAACCAAAGCAAAAGCAATCCAATCCACCAACATGCCTCTCTCTCCCTTCGAGTCCACCGTCACGATCCCAACACTCCTCGCTCTACCTACACCGCCGCCGGCTGCGCGGGGTCTTAAGTAGGCTCCGCGGGTGACATCACAGAGCTCTCTGTGGCGTCAGAGCAGAGGCCACGCCCCAGGCAGAGGGCACCCCGGGGGCCATTCAGCCTTCAAGGCACAGCAACCGCCAAGAGGTGTGTGGACAGACTCCCTGGAGACTGGACTCCACCCCGTTCCAGAAGCCCGCGGGGCGCTGGCGAGGCCGTGTCCTCTGTCGCGAGCACCTGTCCCAGGTTTTGGCTTTTAGGGTCTCTCCACACAATCCCCCTCAAGCCCTGAAGCGTCTCACATGACACGACACATTCACAGGCACAATAAACGACACCATGTTGGGAGCATGAGATGCGACAGAGTCCGCTCTTCACACCCCGACACTGAAAACTCTCTGGGACATGGTCCCCCCGTTTGGCCCACGAGCTGCGTGTGCCCCTCGGCGTCCTCGCAGGCCGGAGGCCGGGGCGGCTCCCAGGGCGGCAGAGGCTGTAAAGCGGGCCCTGGAGGGGGTGTCCGCCCCGCCCCCAGCGCTGTGGGGACACCCCCTGACCTGACTCAGCCGGGGCTGGGGGCAGCTGGGGCTGGTCAGCTCCCCCCGAGATTTCTGGCTTGGAAATATCTGCGTCTGCAGCTCCTGTTGGTGCAGCGGGTTGAGCGCAGCGCTGTGGAGCTGTCCGCACCTCTGCAGCGCTGGTTCGATTCCCGGCCCGCCAGGGAGGCGAGCAGACCTCTCCTTTCCCGCCCGCTGCGCCCCTCAGCAGTCTATTTCATCAGTCTGCCTGTTCTGCTCCCCACTCTGTCTCTGGTGAATCCTCTCACCCTCACACCTCTGGCCTGTACCCCGGTAATTGTATAAATATATCTTTAATAAAAAAGACTAAAAAAAATCTGCTTCTTGCTTGAACTCGGGGTCGGGGAGCAGAGGTTGGCAAAGGCCAGGTCCAGACGCTGTGGCCCTGCACCCCGCGGGGAACGCCCTGGCTTCGGGAAGTGGTGGGTTCGCGTGAGCAGTGGGGTCCGCTGCTGCTCAGGCTGCAGGTTCCCCCCGCCAGGCCAACCCTGATCACTCACGCACAGCATCCGCTGAGGACCAGGTCTCCCCTGAGCAGCCTGGGGCGCGGCCAGAGCCCCGAGGCTCAGAGCCTGGGCTCGGGGGTCGGGCTCGGTGGCCCCAGCGCCGCATGTCCCAGGCCTGGAGGGCGGAGGGTGTCATCCTCTCGGGGGACAGGACACCCAGGGCAGGTTCCCTTGGTCCCGCCCCCCGGGGACCTGACCCAGCAGCGGCCAGGAGAGGCCGTGCTGCTCCTCCTTAGACCGCGGCTGCTCCCGGCTGCCGCAAGAGAGAGGTCGCAGCCTCTCCCGTGTCGGGGGCGGACTCGCAGGCCTGTTCCCGTCTTTCTCCCCAACCTCCACGGCCGCCTCGGGGGAGTCCGCGCTCTGTGGCCGCCTGTGTCCACACCCGCCTCAGCCTCAGGGGCTGCAAACCCCACGGAGGCTCCGCATCCCTCTTGCCTCTGAGAACCCACGATGCCCCCACCAGCCTGGGATGCTGCGCATCACGGGCAAGGGCTGCGGCCCCGCACTGGTTCCTCCCCTTCCTTCAACCTCCCCCACACCCAGGGAAGAGCGAGAGCATCAATCAGATCATCCGCTCGCTCGCTGGCCTCACGCTTTCCCGTGGCCCTGCTGGGCTTGACACTTTCCCCAAACCCCTTTGCACAGGCTTCCCTGCCCCGCTGGCCTCAGACCTGCCCCCACCCACCTCCCCTCCCTGTCCAGCCCTGCTGGGTGAGCTGCCCTTCTTTTTCGTTTTTAATTTTATGTATTTTTACTTCCTTTTTCATTTTTGCCAATGTATGCATTTTCACCTTGGTTATAGTCCCCGTACAATTCCCACCCCCTTGACGATCCTACTTCCTCCTCCCCCGCACGGTAGTGTGTCTCTGGCTTGTAGATGCTGTTGTTTGTGATTTTTACTTTATTATATTTAGTATTTTCCTGGTCCCTAATTTAGGTTTTCTAAACTCCTGCTATGAGTGAGACCATCCGGTATTTTTCTTTTTCTTTCTGGCTTATTTTGCCTGAGCATGATCCCTTCCAACTTCATCCATGTTGCTGCAAATTGCATGTGTTCATCTCTTTTGATTGCTGAGTCATATTCCATTGTGTATATGCACCACATCTTCTTGATCCTGTCATCTATTTTGGGATATTTGGGTGTCCTTCTTTCTGCCACATCCTGTTGCCACCTGAGGCATTTGCTCTTGTTTTTGCAGAATCCCCAGTCTGCACCTACCAGCTCTCTGACCTTGCTTTCCTCCAACCCACATGTCACTTCTGACCACCTTGCAGGCAGGTGCTGCACATTTCTTCTTGAATCACATCCTCTCCTCCCTTCACAGTGTCAACTGCACATAAATCATACTAACATGTTTTCAGAATTTCATGCTAGAATGGAATTTCCTCCTGTGTCTTGAGGTCCTGACACAGTTTTGCTTATGGGAAGAATGCTGTTGACTGACCCAAAGCAGTCCTAAAACAAGAACATTCTAAAGAACAGTACATTTTGAATGTTCCCTTGTCTTTTTACATGGGAACATTTTCTCACTCTCTATCAGGAAATAGATTCAGTTTGACTAAGGAAACTTTGTTTTAAGCAATATTTCAAAGTACTTCAAATGACAAATGTCACGTGTGATGTCATAAAGGTTTACATCATCAGCCACATTGAGTTTTTTTGCTGTGTTTTAATCTGTTGGCTTAATTTTAGAAGTGCCTCACAGTCCAAATCAGTGTTAATACCTATGTCTAAACATACAAGGAATGCATATGGGGAAAGAAGTAAAACTATCACAATTTGCAGATAATACGATAATATACACTGAGAACCCTAAAAACTCCACAGAAAAACTACTCAAAATAATCAAACAGTTCAGTAAAGTGGCAATATTCCAAATCAACACACAAAAATCAGTAGCCTTTCTATACACAATCAATCTGCAGAAGAATAAATCAAGAAAACCATCCCTTATGTAATTGAAACAAAAAAAATAAATACTTGGGAATGAACCTAATAAAAGAGGTGAAAGATCTATACAGGGCCTCTATGGTGGTGCAGGCAGTTGAGCGCAGCGCTGTGAAGCTGTCCGCAGCTTCTGCAGTGCCTGTTTGATCCCTGCCGGCCTCGGAGCTACCCACATGACACGGCAGACCTCTCCTGTCTCGACTGCTGCTCCCCTCAGTGGTATATTTCGTCAGTCTGCTTGTTCTGCTCCCCACTCTGTCTCTGGTGAATCCTCTCACCCTCCCGAGTCTCCGGCCAGTATCCCAGTTCTTATCAGCATAAATAAATAAGTCTTTAAAAAAAAGAAAAAAAGATTATTTAATTTGCTAGCATAGTCAGTCACAGTGCTCTCATGACCTTTGTATTTCTCTGCTAGCTGTAGTAATTTCCATTTTTGTCTAATTCTATTCATAAATTTTCTCTTGCTTCCATTGTTAGCCTAGCTAAAGATTTATCAGTGTTGTTTATTGAAGAAGTAACTCTTAGTTCATGGATCTTTGTTTTGGCTTTTTGACTTGTGTTTCATTTATTTCTGCTCCAATTTAAATAATTTCCCTTCTTTTATTTTAGTTATTCTTTGTTTTATTTCTCAAGTTGCTTGAGGTGTACTGTTTAATTATTTATTTGGGATTTATGTTACTTCTGGGTGTAGGCCCCTTCTGCAATTCCCACTCAAAATCCTTTCTCCCTTACCCCATATGTTATTTTTGTTCAAGGAGTCAATAAAAAAATAATCTTTTAAAATGTAATTGAGTAAGATGGGTTTCCACCAGTGTTAGTATTTTGTAAGGTCTCTGTGCCCTATATGCAGTCACCAAAGTGCACCCACTGCAAAAACACCCGCAGTCTGCCCCCATAGCCATTGTGCTTTCTCCCGCGTCTCTCTCACCCCTCCCTATTCTTCTTCCCCTTGGGGACCTCAGTTCTGTGATCAGGGGCAAGGATTACCTTTAAAGTTTGAGGTTCCTTTATTTGCTTTCTCTATAGTCCACGTACAAGTGATGCTACCTGGTATTGTCTTTTTCCTAGTGACTTATTTCACTCCACATAATGCCTTTTAGTTCCATCCATGTTGCTATAAATGGCATGAGTTTATCTTTTTTCATTGCTGAGTAGTATTCCATTGTGTATACACATCACATATTCTTGATCCATTTATCTGATCGGGCACTTAAGTTGTCCCCACATCTTGGTTATTGTAAATAGTGCAGCAATAAACATGGGAGAGCAAGTTTCCTTTCAAATTAGTGTTTTTGTATTTCAGCAGTAGAAACCCAGGAGTAGGATTGCTGGGTCACGTGGCAGATCAACTTTTAGTCTTTTGAGAAAACTCCATACTGTTTTCCATAGGAGCGACACCAGACTACCAACACCAACAGTGAAAAAGTGTTCTTTTGACTCCATATCTCCACCAACACTTGTTGCTTCTTGCTTTTTGATATGTGTACCTTATGGATATTTTTTGTCAAAATTATGCACAAAGCGTTCTCTTATTTTTTAAGATTTATGTATTTATGCATACAAGAGCTGGGGTACAAGCCCGAGGTGTGGGTGGTGAGAGGATTCACCAGGGACAGAGTCAGGAGCAGAACAGGCAGATTGAGTGAAATACACTGCTGAGGGGAGCAGCAGGCGAGACAGGAGAGGTCTGTCGTGCCATGTGGGCAGCTCCCTGGCCAGGGATCTAACTCTGTGCTGCAAACAGCTTCATAATGCTGAGATTTAATCCTTTGTGCTGTGAGGGAAGGCCTCTTTCCTGCAATTGTGAAGATGATTTTATCTCGATTGAACTTTTGTTTGCTGTAAATTCTTGATAGTTTCCCAGAGTGCCTTCCAAGTTGGTAGAGATGCCTAGAAAAGAATTAGGCCAAGAATTGAAACAGCACTTAAGAGGCTGCGGGCAGCTTCGCAACCCATCGCTCAACCATTGCGCCAAAGGGGAGGCCCGTCTTATTGTCTTTAGAAGCAGTCCCCGCGTCTTAGCCTGACATCAAGGGTTTTTCAGTATGACTCTATTCTCTCCTAGCAATCTTACCTTCTCAGTAACTACTTACTCAGTTGTACTAAACTACATATTCCTTCAACTTTTTCCAGAATGTGCTACTTCTGTCGGGAATGTCCATTTTTTTTTTCTCTTCAATTAACCTTGTGTCAGGAGTTAGTTTAGCTGTTTGTATCAGGAAACCTTTCCCAATGTTCTCTGCTGGGGGTTCATCAAGAACCATTGCCCTGATTTCTCAGCTCACACTGTGGAACAGGCCCTCCCAATTCTGATATTTCCAAGTTCCTGCTGAGCATCAGGGTGTTACACAGAGGTAGGCATCCTGACTAGAATTTTTACTTTCTGTGTTTTAGTTTTTGCCCCTCAGACACAAACCTGATAAGGCTTCTGTGAATCAAATACCAATAATAATTTATTAGCCACC